GCTGAATTGTTCAGCTATAATGGAAACCCAAGATTGCCAAGGATTCTGACGGCTAACACTGATGCCTGTTTATGTGGTTCCATGTCCATTTGTAGTGAGGAGAGAATTGAAAGATACTTAAAGCTGGTTCTGGAATCTGGTTTTCTCATACCCCTGAGCAGTTCTTGAACTGGCCTATGTCTGAATCTGCATGTTGTCCAGGCTTACACTTAATGTTAGGGCATAGCAGTTCTGTACTATTCACCTTATTTGCTTTGAGGCAGACTTCTGATCTTTTTTTGTGCTTTAGCTGGTAGGGAATTAGTTTTCAGTAGGACCAGAGTAAGACTAATGAATCTGCCTGTCCAAGCATGGCATCTGTTTCTATTTTTATGAATTTTTTTAATGTGTTAAAAATATTTCAAGCCCATTTCAGACTCAGTCATGCATTGGCGCTAAGCAGCCTGGTACTGATCTGGCAAGCCTGGCTTAGTGTTTTCACAGTGCTGCTTGGGCCTTCTTAAAATGAAAGTCCCATGCATGTGTGATTCCCTTTAAAGGTGCTGGAAAATTATATGTCTTTGGTATTCCAGCAATGAGGACTCTGCACATCTCAAGTAACTTCAGATTAGGAGAGAACTGGTTGATACTATTTACCTGTAGAGACAATACTGCTTGTGTGTGACTAGTACAAGGAGTGTATATGAAGAGGGCAAAGGGAAAATGATAATGATGACTGGGTGGGTAAGTAATACAGAGAAAGAATAGGAGAAACTCTTGATATTTGGGGAGGGGAAAGGTTAAAAGTAACTTTTACTAGGAAAAAAAATCTTTCTGTAAGTTAAATAAGAGTAAAGAAAAACCCTCAAGTTTGGATAACGGCATGATTATAGGAAAATAACTTTTACTAGATGGTAAGCCACAGATGTTCACACTTTGCAGTTGAGTATATATTTTCCTATGGAGAACCATTTACTTTGCATTCAGAAAAGGGAAGGCTTTGATACTTCCAAAGTTGCAGTGAAAAGTACTCTGACCTTCAGAAGCACTCTCTAGCTGTTCTGTGCATGATTCTGTTCTTTTGATGGGGTGAAAGAAAATAACAAACTAACGTTCAAGACAAGCGAACTGTTTGTTTTTCTTTTCCATGCTACTGTACTCCTGCCCCTGGCTCAACAGGTAGCAGTAGGCGATATTGTGAAGGTCACCAATGGGCAACATCTTCCAGCAGATATGATCATTATATCTTCCAGGTATCCTGAATGGGTGTGGAAATCACTTGTCTGATGAACTGAGGTGCAGAGGACTCAACACTCTGTATTTGCTACTAATAAAAGCAGGCATCAGATGACACTCATTCTCCTCCACATCTAAATTCAGGTTTCAGCAAAGTCAAAACAGTGCTTTGAGGCAATGATTCATGTGTCATTGTAGATAGGTTCTTAAGAAAGAATGCTTGTTTAAGACTTCAGAGTATTATGTACCTGTAATTCACAAAGTGTGTTGCTGAGTTTGTTGGAAGACGGAAGGTCTGTTACATAAGCTTCATGCAGTCAGTTGTTCTGTGGCCTTCTGAGGATCCCTCCATTTAATTATGGAAGTTTAAGTTTTCTTCCTATTAATTCAACTGAGTTTCTAGCACATTTTCCTGCCCCTCAAGAAATATTTCTCTTTCAAATGGTACTTGTAAAATGCCATCCCAGCTGGCATCTACTACCTAGCCTGCATAAGAGCTTTTGGGCTTAATCTGTTTATTCCTTGTCTTTAATACAGTGCATGTATGGCCTATCTCTAGCATGGAAGCAACAATAAACTGTTGAGTCCTGCTCAGTTAGTGAAATATGGGACAACTTCCTTAAACCAATATACTGGCAATCAAAGCTTGCTGATCAGTTCCTAAAAGCAATTGAGTGGTACTTGGCTACTAATCTAGATTCTATATTGAACAATTTGAGGCCAAATCAAGACCACTGTCCACTTAGATGAGTTTTAAATGGGAGAATAGCACAGTTCCTCTTCTTGATCATGCTTTTGTGTAATAGCCAAACCTTATGGCACCTTGCTTTTCTCCACAATTTCCTTCTGTCCATATGGTTTTGAACAGTAACTGCAGGTCGCTGTGGTCTGCAGGTTACAGTTCTCCTAGATGACCCAACTTCTAAGGGAACTTTTTTTCTAAGCTGCTGAATTGCCTGCTCTATCCGTCTTGTCTGTGCCATTCCTGGGAGGTTTCATTTCTTTGAAAGCTGTATGGGCAAGCTCAGTCTCTGAACTGTCACATGACTGAGGATGGAGGGCTCTTCATTCCAATAGTGTTATTTCTTTTCTAAGACAAACCCCATATTTTAAATGTGCAGTTAGTTAAGCTACACTTTGACATCAGTAAGTTGCTATTTCAGCATTGGGGAATATCAGTTCTACTTCAGAAATTCTCCTGTAACATTATGATACTAAAAATCCTTCTGATTAATTTCTTAATTTGCATGGGTCAGCTCTTCGTTCTGCATTATTCTACTAACCTGATGTCATTGATAATCACATAACTGGATAATTTAACCTAAAGTATGTTGATTTGGGAGAAGCTTTGGTTGAAGTAAATAACAATTTCTATGGCAGTTCTTTTACAATTGGCATTATTCCCAGGTTTCTTTTAAATGACAATACTAAGTGTCCTCAGTTCACCAGAAGGCTGTGCATGCTTTGAGGGGTGGAGTCTTTTGCTTGTATGTGTTAATTTCCTGTGTCTGAGCTGACTGTCAGAAGTGAAATAAACAGTTGTTTTCATCTTGACTTCTTTTTCCTCACAGAAGAAAGGTGTCATCAAATGAATTTTACATAGAGAATAAATTTACATGAAGGCAGAAATACTTGATCTTGTGGCCATGACCTTTTGTGTGCACAGTTCAGACAGAACTCGGTAGCAGAGAGCACACCCCTTCATTCAAGCACATTCATATCCAGAGATAGCTTTCTATGATGTGTGTTTTCAGATGGCTCTTTCATTGTCATATGCCATCACTATGGTTTTTGTCTCCTGCAGTGTTTTGAAGTGTGTAGTGGAACCATGTTAGTGCAAAAGTGCATACGAAATTACAGATTTAATATTGAAACTCTTTTCCTCCTTACAGTGAACCACAAGCCATGTGCTATATCGAAACAGCTAATCTTGATGGGGAGACCAATCTTAAAATACGACAGGTAAAACAAACTGAATTTGACCTTTTTTTTTTCCATTTAGGTATCTTAATGTTAGCACAAATCAGAGTCTAGCTTGCACGACAACCATACAAGTTCTCTCTTTTCCTTTTTTAACAAAAAAAGTACATCTCTTGCCAGGTGGCTGTAAGCTGTCTTTTCAACAGATACAAACCTAAGCAATAATGCTTCATGTGCAAGTGTAAGCAACTCATGTGGAGGAAGTATAATAAATCCATACAGGCAAATCAAGCAGACCTTGGCAGTGTTTTGCTGAAGGACCAGTAAAGTGCTGTATTAGAAAAACAAAAAATCAGCTGTGCTTGTAGTAAGGGCTGCAGTTTCTCTTGTCACAAGTGCCAATCTCTCTGCCTTTGTGGAGTGCTCAAAAGGACCTTTTATAAGTTTAAGTTAATTGGTTCTCTCTTTGTGGCAAGTAGTGGAATGCATTTGTATTTTTTTCCAGATTTGTTGAAGAAATACTGTTGATTGTGGTGTTTAGAAACAGTTCAGAATCTTTGTCGTCTTTCAGTACAGAAATAAATTTGTATTAGGTTTTCAAAATAAAGGTCATTAGCTTCTAAAAAGCTGTACATTTGCTGCTTGTTTACTGCCATTGTAGAAATGTGATTTAATGTTCTGGATCAGGTCTTGATTAGATCTTGAGTTCCTGTCAGGTTTTATTTGTTTCAGGGCACATGCTTTAAATACAAAAATAAGGTGGTAGAGCCTTTTAAGGCCTTGTTCTGGTTTGTGGTGCTGCAGTCATAATCTGGCAGAAGAAACACTAAATGGATCACTTACCCAAATGGAGGTGTCCATAGGCAGATGAAAAGCGATGGAGTGTTGCATGTGCACTCTGGAGTAGCAATATGTTAGGTTACAGTTGTGTGATGGGTTGATGATTAACCTTGAGTATGATCAGAGCATAATGGCTGCAGTGATCCAAGAGAGACGACAGTTAGGAGTGACTATATTTTAGCAGCATATTTTAACACTTCAGTGAAGGTATATTTTGAGAGAAAAGCTAGGCTTGTTTATACTGCTTGTCTCCTACTTCCTCCTGCACATGTGCAACTTCGTGCTTTGTGGATGATTAAAGAGAGATTATGTAAGTAATATAACTCTTATGTACAGGGATTTAAACCTCTCCTATATAAGCAGGATCATGTGTCCAATGAATCTCCCTTGCAGGAAAGGGTTATTGAATATCCATTAGAAAGACAAAACAAAACAATTAAATTCCCACAAAATGCAACCAAAATTCCCACCAATAAACCTGACAGAAAACCACACATTGAATTACATTTGATATCTTAGATGTTGGAAGAAAGCACTATTTTCCTAGGATGCCTCCTAATAACAATTTTTGGCAAGAATCTCCTTTGCATTGGTCTCTGCAGGGGTTGTCTCTAACTGCTAGTCTTCAGTCAAGAGAAGAATTGATGAAAGTATCTGGAAGGATAGAATGTGAAGGACCCAACCGTCATCTTTATGATTTCATTGGAAACTTGCGCTTAGATGGTCAAAGGTATTGGCTTGACAACAAAGCCACGAATTTGTTTGATTGGGAAAAATTTTTCCTGTGTGCTTTTGGTCTGCAGCACTGAGCACATGCATGTTTGGTCTTTTTTTTTTCTTTCTGGGGAAGAGGGTAATTATTAACAGTTGTTAATCAGAGCATCTGCCAGCATAAGATAATATAGTTTTATCTTCCTATAGAGTCTTCTGCTTTTTATGGGTAAGCTGGTTTCTTTGGAATCATAGTGGGGTTTCTTTAATCAAAAGTAACATCTAAAGAGAAGGAAGAGTTGGGCAAATAGTTGAGGTTTTTAGAGCCTTCTTGTTACAGGAGATATGCAGAGAAATGGGAAACCTTTCCGTTCCAGCTGGAGCCAAAGGCTGCACCAAGTTCCTTTCTATACAGAAAACTGATCCCAGAATGTGGAGTCTTTATCAGAGTCAGTTTTATTTGTTGTAACACTTGGAAGAAGATAACTTAGTTTTAGTGCTTGAATTCATAGAACTTGGAAGTCCAGTAGGGAACATGCAGGTTTTCTGCACAAAACCTGTATTCCTTGGGCAACTTGGCTGAATAGCGACAGATGCAAGAATAGCAGAAGATCACTTGCATCTCACTTGAAAATCACATGGGTAATACAGTTTCCCTGAAATACTTGTTTAATGGTATATGTGAGGCTGTTGTGTGTTTGGAATAGATGGTCTCTTTGCAAGCGTGATGCTTCCCTGTCCTTGTTTGTGAGAGAGAATGTGTTAGCCAAGGTAAAATGTGGTGTACTCTAATGGCTGTCAGAAGTTCTCAAGTTTTGGGTAACTAGAAGAGCTCCCTTGTATCACCTTCACCCTACTGTGCTTCCACAGGGATTAAACTTCGACAGGTTTCGCTGTTCTCTTGAGTTGTGTGGATAATGTAACTTCATTTTTATATCGCTTTCCTCCTTTTGTAACATGTGGGGGTGTTGTTTTGGTTGGTTTTGAGGGGAGAGTGAGGCTGAAAGGAGAATTACTTTCCTAAAGTGTTATCAAGAATTGAAAGATATACATGCTTCTTGCTTTGCAGCCCAGTTCCTGTTGGTCCAGACCAGATCTTGTTAAGAGGCGCACAGCTGAGAAACACTCAATGGGTCTTGGGCATTGTTGTGTATACAGGACATGATACAAAACTCATGCAGGTAAAGTTTTTAAGGAGATCTAAAATGTGTTCTGATAGAAGCTGGTTATCTTTCTCGTATTATACTTGTCTTTTGGGCTTGATTTTATAAATGGTTTGACTCATGGTAGCTGTTCAAGACCTGGAGGCCTTGAGGAATACAAGGGTGCTGTTGTACTTGAGGTTGCATGTCCTCATGTCTAAACACTTATTGAAGTAGGTCTCAAAATACTTCAATGTGTAAGCAAAACTAACTGTATTTTAACTTAATTTACTTAGTAGCTGGGCAACATTTAAAACTGAGGTTTAACAGCTGAGGAGATGGTTGTGACCACCTATGCTTTTAGCACTTTGAGATAATTAGGTTAAGATTGCAGTGTCTGTGTTGCCTTCATGGCAGGAAGTGCCTAGGGGGACCAGCAACATGTGTCGCTCGCTTCTACTGACCATCAGTGGGATAGACAGCCAAATGAGTACACTAGGCCTTCAGAACTGAACGTTCTATTCCTCTGATCTCCTGTCAGTTTTGGAGTCATTAGGAGTATTGGCTTCTTTTACTGACTTGTTGAGCTTTGCATACCATATTGAGCTAAGGAGAGCTGAAGTAGCAAGTTCTATAATGGACTCTAAAAATAAAGACTGAGTTGGCCTTGGCAGTTTTCTTTTGTGTAAGCCATTGCCAGACTAATTTTTTTTGCTTTTTCTTTCCTTTCTGCTGCTGTTCAGAATTCAACCAAAGCACCTCTGAAGAGATCAAATGTGGAGAAAGTAACCAACATGCAGATCCTGGTTTTGTTCTGTATTCTTCTGGTTATGGCCCTTGTGAGTTCTGTAGGTGCCTTATTATGGAACAGAACACATGGCGAAGTTGTCTGGTACCTTGGCTCCAACAGTGAGTATGCAGGCAGTGTGCTAGGGATGTATTAGACTCTAGGGCTGGCCAGGCTCCTAGCTTTGCTAAATGAATGCATAAAGTAAGAAATAGTCACTAACTTTTTGATGGCCCAGTATTTTTTTCTCTTTTGAGTATGGGCTGGCAAGTCAGGCTTCTGTTAATAAAACCTTGTAAAGGTTAGGTAAATATCACTGGGATACCACCCAGGGATCAAGGCAGAAGAGGGGCAAGAGTTATTCTTGGATATTCAGTTTTCAAGTTCTTTCAGCTCTGTGGAGATGCCATGCATGAATTTGTTTTCAGAGCAGGCCACGTACTGCTGACTTACGTATCATGTCTGATTGTACCTTACTACAGGGTATCAGGTATTGGTCTGACTTCAACTTTATGCTTATGTATGGAAGCAAAGGATTTCTCTAGCTGGATTTTTAGTCAGAAATGCTGATCTGCTCTTGCAATGCTAACTGTCATGATTTTTCATTTATTGGGTAATGTTTCAGGCATTTTGTCTTCTAACTTCTGTTCTTCTGTAATGAAATCTGATCTTTTTAGCTTATTGAAAGGTTTTATTTGATTTCATTCATACTCAGATTTATTCTTTCATATATCCAAGATGGGCTTTATACAAACACTAAAGGATGAAATAAATTGTGTTCCAGTAGACTTTTGACTTCAGGGTGTAACATTAGGTAGCTATAAAATGTGTTGTTACAAACATCTTGAGATGCAGATCTGAAAACAATTCTCACAAACTGCAAATGGTCTTTCTGATGGTGATTGCAAAGCAGATGACAAAGGGTGTCTTCTGAAGTTTAAGAACTTTAATTGTGATAGTAATGGAAAACAAGACACCTCATATAGGAAGAGCTTAGAGGTGCCTCATATTTGGCTCTGGTTTTCAGTAGCTGTAGTGTCTTCAAGTAGCAATATCAGCAAGTTTTGAAGTTTCTTTCCTCTCTCACCCTCTCCCCTCCCTCCCCCCTGCCTTGCTTTTTGATGAGGAAGTTTAAATTTGTGTCTTACAATGATGGAAGTAACACTGGAAAAGGTGAATGGGGCAAACTCTTGAACTTGTGCTAATATAAAACATGCAACCTGTAATAAGTTAGAGTGACACGGTATATAGAAATGTGTTTTTTGTAAACTGACCATGCAATTTCTATCACTTCTGTAACTGCTACTCACCGGAAAGACACTTTTGAGGCTAGGCAAGTAGTCTTATTTTAAATTTTGAAATGGCTCATATATATGAAGATGGTATTGGTTAAACATGTTTCAATACGATGCTCCTGCTCCTTCTGTAAACTGACCAAAGATAGGGAGTTCATAGTACTCACACTTGGAGATGCCTGGGTCCAAACTTCAGGTCTTACTCTGATCTCAATAGGCTTCAGCAGTTTTCTTTCCTAGTTTGCTCCCCTGCCACCTTACCAACTTGTTTGTAATGCTAAAAACACCTGAAGTGGTGGGCTGTGAGACTGTTATGCTGGGTGCTCTGCCTGCTGACTTTTGTGCTTCCCTAAGCTTCAAGGAAAGTGAAGAACAGACAGAAGGGGAGACATTGAATGTAAAGAGAGGCTGCAGCAGCACCATGAACAGAAGCTTTCATCCTATGTCTGCTGAGCCATGTCCATTCCTGCCTGCTGTCTAAGAAAGCTTCCCCTCCCCTTTTGGACCAGTTGTGCTGGCAAATTGATTTGGGCAACTTGCCTAGCTTTGTCACCATTAATAACAGCTCTTCTGCTTGAGCAGGATGCCTTAGTTCATTTACTAGTTATCTGGTTTAAGTCAACTTGTTCTCTTAGATTTCTTTAGTGTAACTTTTTAATTCTGCCAATCTGGCAAATTTTAGAACAAATTTTAATCTTTATTTTCTGGTTTCTAACTCCACTGAGAGAGGTAGATACTTTCTGATAGGTAAAGTTATATTACTTGTGATATTGGTGGCTCTTAATTGGGGCAGTTGACACATCAGATAAAGCTCTAAATTTGGGTTAGTGTGGAATATCGTACTTATCACCATCTGCTTAGCAAAAACTGTTCAGAAAGCGTTCTGTTCTCTAATATATAGCCTCACCAATCTTGCCCTTCTTCACCTAGCATAATACACTATGTATCCATGTATGTGTTCTGTGAGCGTTATATGTATGTACTACTGAAATCAATATTAAAATGTCCCCTGTGCTAGGCATCAGCACACTTGCTGATTATTTTAGCACTACTAAATCTGATTAGGCCAACTGCAGGAAGATGACTGCCCCTGTACTGTACCACTCAGACTTGTGTGTTCTGTCTGCTGATATCTCATGTCTTTTGGTCCGCAGAAATGCTGTCTGTCAACTTTGGATACAATCTGCTGACATTTATAATCTTGTACAACAACCTTATTCCAATCAGTCTTCTGGTGACATTAGAAGTTGTGAAGTTTACTCAGGCTCTTTTTATAAATTGGGTAAGTAACAAGAATAAATGTATTAACGTCAGTTTTGGAAAGTGACATTAAAAAAAACCAAACCAACCTATCCTGAAATCTTTACCAGATTTTCTGCTGACTTTTCTGATGCAGCTTCTGAGAAAGGCAGGGAGAAGTTTAGAAGTTTTATTATCTGTTAGATTGGTGTTCCACAGGAGGATAAAAGATTTAGTTGTAGGAAGATTCCCTGTGCAAATGATCACTTTTGTATATTTTAGGCTTTTGGGATGAGAAGGAAGGCTCAGCTCTCTGCTTGAAGGTGGTCTGTCAGCTTACTCATTTTCAGTAATTATCTTTTGAAAACTCTTCAGTACCTTATATTCTCTCAGCTGCAACAGAGGGAAAGCCTATATTTCTTTAGGGGTGATGCCTCTGTTCACCCAGGCTTTGTCTTCAAACTGTTTGTCTTTAGTTGTGGCCCAAAAGTACTGTAGTGATGTTTCTTAATCTGAACAAATCCAGGGGAATGGGCTATGCTAATCCCAGGTCTTTAGTTACAACAAGGCCCATTTATTCTAGTGGCATCTGTGATGAAAGAGACAATGTAAGTGACCCTGGAATTGACTCCTATTGCTACATTTAATTGAAAGGGTTAGCAAAACAGCTGCTACATGAACCAAAGCAGTTTCTCAGATAGGTATCTCCAATATATTATAAGCAGTTCAGACATGCTAGACCTTATTTACTTATATTTTGGAGGAGCCAGTACAACTTTATGATTAGCATGGCTAATACCTGGTAGAATTTCTTCCTACTGTACTAAATTCTTAAACTAGAGATGCAGTGAAGGTTATAATTGCCTATAATTGAATCTGGCTTTTCTCATGTACATCTAGTATGGAGGTGTATTTTGTAAAGGAGGCACCCATACTCAGCCTGGGATGAGTGTTTCAATTTGCATACCATAGATCTAATTTTGCTCTTGTTTCAGGACATAGATATGTATTACCCTGAAACAGATACTCCTGCAATGGCCAGAACCTCAAACCTTAATGAGGAACTTGGGCAGGTAAGATAATATTTTCTCAAGTGTCATGTTTGTGGTATGTTCTGGGAAGACAGAAGATAGGAGAACATGCTGTTCAAATCTACTTTATGTTGCACTGTGGCTCAGGTTAATGGGACATCTTTCATTAAGTCTGAGTCTTACAAGTGAAATAATGAGATCACAGGATTCAATTTGATGTAATGTAGGTAGTTGTAAGCCTGGGAACGGATTCTGATTTGTATTTAGATTCCTTTGTGAAGCTAGAAACCTCCAAATTATGGTTGTCTTTTTTTCCAAAATAAACTGTTATGTGGCACAATGTATATTGTTGGCATATGCTGTTTTCAGCAATGGCTTACTAGAGATGCTGTGTAAATAGAATGAAGTTTTGGATTCATTAACTGAATTACTTGTTCAAAGGTGCATTTTAACATTTTCTTATATGCTACAATTATTAATGACTCAAAGTTCTTCAAAGGTTTGGGTAACCACTTTGACTTCTAACTTGCACAGGCTGTTTCCAGTGCTGTTTTAAGAAGCACTGTAGTGCACAGCTGAAGGATCACTTCAGTAATAGTGTAGTGCAGCATCTTGAACTGAATTGCATATATTGAGGAAAAGCTTTTTTGCAACTCTAGGCAAAATATTCTGGTCTTTACACTGTGAACTCCTAAATTAGCACCATCCCTTCCTACCTGCTGTTGGTTCAAAATCTTACATGGTGCAAAGTAAAAGTGTGGAATTTACCTTGCAATTAAATTTGGTTTGTTGTGGCCTGTTGAAGGTGAGAATCTCAAGTCTGTTAATGCTTCAAAAAGTTGTGTTGCTGTGTTAGGTTGTCTCCAAGTTCTAGCTAAAAGTCACTGGTTTCCATTAAGGGATTATTAGCTTGGCAAGTGCTGACTGTGGCTGTGTGTTTTGCACTTCAGGGTTGCTCGTGACCAGGTTGTTTGCCTGCAGGTTACCACTTAAACTTACTCTAGGATATTCTTTGCACGGTACTGTTTATGGGGAAAAAACCCTGAACAGATTTGGTGATCTTTGGAACACTGAATTTCTTTGGTGTGTTAAGTTCCAGTGATTCTTTGACAATCTTTAAGAATATGTGCTTTAATTTCTAGTTGTTCTCTTTAATGTTAGTACAGTTCAAAAATTTGGTGACTGTTCAACTAGCACAAGCAAGTGCATGTGTATTGACCATGCTGGAGCCTTGACAATTGGTAGCTACTATTTGAGCCTTTTTGAATTAAGAGATAAAGAAGAAACAATGCTGTTTAAACAACTTTACTGATTATTTTCCTGTAGCTTTGGTAGGACAAACCAAGTTGCGGTAATCCTGCACTGGCCAATGCTGTGACATTTGAGCCATAGGTCTCCCAGAATTTTCCTGACACTCTGTTTTCCACTTTGAGTTTTGTTACTTTGCAAGGTGTAAGTTAGATTTTATTTTATTTTTTCTTCTTTCAGGTAAAATACCTGTTTTCTGATAAAACCGGTACTCTAACATGTAATATCATGAATTTCAAGAAATGTAGTATTGCTGGAGTGACATATGGGTAGGTATGACTTTTTTAGGAACTTGTTAACTTAATGTGTGCTTATTAACGGTACATACTTTCATATCAGAACAAATTTAGTATGTTCTGTTCTTCAGTTTGGGGTTTGGTATATTTTGTGGTCTCAGTTGATAGCTTTCATTTTGATGTCCTTAACATAGCACAGTTCCATAATTCTGTAACACAAATTATGGAATGCAAACCTGGGGAGTAGTTTATATGAAATAAAGGTGACTTGCTTTCTAACATATCTATTTGATCATGATATAAACTAAACCAGAAGTGCTAAACATCTGGCTTTTTCAGAGAGAACATGCAGCCAAGAGGTAGGAATTGTCAGTCATGTTTCTGTGACTTCTTCAAAAGTAACAGGATTTCATTACAAGTGTACCGCTGTAATTCAAGTTGTAGAGTTTAATATTCCTTGCACAGGAGGGTTACTTACTGATTTTGTTCTGTTTCTGAGGAAAGGATCCCTTTGAGTCATGTCAGCATTACATTTTGAGTCTTCAATACTAAATCTTTGTCTCTGCTTAGTTTTAGAAGGTTAGTCTTAAGATCTCTGTGCACGTTAATGTTTGAATTTCATGTTAGCTGAATTAGATACCTGAAAAAGTAGAAAACTTGGTTCAAATGTATGTGCAGCTGAACCCATGGTTCCAGCATATGATTGTATGATGGCACATTGATCTTTGCCTTCTACTTATTTTTTGGTTTGCAGAGTGGAATAAATGTTTTTTTTCCTCTTTCTACCTCTCAGTCACTTTCCTGAACTGGAAAGAGAACGTTCATCAGAAGACTTCAGGTAAATGTATTCTAAGATGTTTGTGTTCTGTATAGCAGAACAGGAACAATCTATATAAAGACTACTTTCCAATTTGGGATTGGAAGAAGCCCAAGGGAGTAATGTGTTTTGAGTAAATGCAGGAGCCTAATGCCAAGCTGGTGGGTGGTGATGGATCTTCTCTTCTGCATAGAGAGATGGTGGGTGAAGGGGGGTGAGGGGTAGTCAGTGACTGGGGTGGCTTTGATGTATACCAGTGCAGTGCTTATTTATAATTGCAGACAACAAAGTTATAAGCCAACAGTATCCTTCTTTTCAGTAATCTTACCTCTAGCTAGAGACTCAATATTACTCTTTAGTCACTAAACTCAAACCTGACAAGGAGAAGAAAAGGAACGTTTTTTTTATTTTTTTTATTTTAAAATGCTATGTTTTCATAATTAAACTGGAAAAGGGCTTGATATGGAGCTGTCTTATGGCAAGAAAACCCCACTCCCCTTTATTCAGAGATTTCATGAGTAGAAGTCAAGAACTGAGTTCCCAGACTAGCAACAGGTAGACCCTGAATACTGTTATAAGGCCACTTTCTGACGAACTGAGTTAGGCTTCTCCACTGGTCCAGCTCACATTTATGACCACCTTTTAGGAAGGCCCATCTGATAGGTTGCTACTTCTGCTGGGACATAACTTCTATGGATGCCTTTTTTATCTTCCAATATATTGCTATTTCCTTCATTGCCATCTTTTCTTTCCCAGTACACTTGTTTTCTAGTCATTTCTGTTTAATAGTTTCTTCCAGGTACTAACTTGGAATACTCAACCTTAAAATCCTCCAGGGATCAGCTTGAAGCAGAGCTCACTGCAAAGAGAGGGAGCTTAGGGGTGTTGATCTTTGATCTATTTTAAAAGTAAGTCACCTTGAAATCAATGTACTTCAAGTACATTTAGAAGCTGCTTCTGCTACATTTGTCCCTAGGAGGTGTGTTGACACTTGAGTCTTCTTAAATACACTTACAGGCATAACCATTTTGGGTTTCCTACTGGTGTTCTGAAGAAATTGTTAATTTTCAGCACTTTTCACTAATCATATGATCTTTTCACAATACTTGCAAGGACAGTGGAATCTTACGTTGTTTTTGCGACCTAACAAAATAAATGTAGTAAGATAGGAAATGTTGCTACTAACGTTTGTCTTACTCTGCAGCCAGCTACCTCCTCCTACCAGTGAATCATGTGAATTTGATGACCCAAGACTGCTGCAAAACATTGAAAATGACCATGTAAGTCTACTCTTTTGATATCGTGTCTTTTAAATACCCCATTCTAGGTCTCTGTGGAATTAAATGCTGAACGAATCTATTTGTGTGATCAAGTCTGCTGTATGTGTGTGTCGTGCAAGAACAGAGGGGATAAAAAGGAAACAAAATAGCTCCTTCCAACGCCTTTCTGCCCACTTGTCTTAATACTGAATTAAACAGTGGTGTTGGTATGGATACCAGCTAGCTATAAAACAGCCTCATAGATATTAGTGTATTTGGAAGATAATGTCTTGTAGCAAATAATCGTAGATAGCTTTTCTTTAGAAGAATTACAATATTTAGAGTGTGCAAGCATCCATACTGTTAAAATAGCATTTTTAAAAGTAATCTAGAGTATTGCAAGGTGGCTCTGGTGTGAGACTTGTTTTGACTACTGCTGGGCTTTCCACTTATGTAAAGGACGTAAGAGGTGTGACTTAATTGCAAGCTTAAGCTTATCCTGAGACTTGGTGATTAGTAATCTTAGCCACACTTCTGTGTCCTGAAGGGACCTAGTCCATGGGAGAGAGACAGTTCATTGCTTGTTTGGAAACCATGGAGCTGTGAAGTGTCTGACTAGACAATTCAAGTCACTTGCAAAATAACATGACCCTTCTCTTCTGCAGAAGCTGTCTCACAGTAGGAGATCATGGCACTGGCAAGCACAAACTCAATTAGCCAATTGCTCTCCTTAGACAGTTGAACTTCTGTAATTGGGTGGTTAAGTTTAGTATGAGCATCTACAACATTGTTACAACATACTGTTTGTGTGTAGCAAAGCTTTGCTTTCTGTTTTTGCTTTACAGTACCTAAGGACCTGAAATGTAGCATGGTGTAAATGCCTGAAGGAGTATTTAATTACTTTGTGTGGCACTACCTTTTCTTCAGGGTGATAGAGCCTGAAGATGAGTCCTGTGCTCTAATTTGCAGGAGGGTAGCCCTCCCCAGACAATGTACTGGTTTCCAGTGTGGCTTTTGTAATTGCCTACACTGGAAGGATTTCCCACTGAACTTCCCTTGCAGCCAAGTTTTGGGTTGCCTCCTGTTCTGTTGTTCTGTTCATGTGTGGCTACTCATTCTGAATGGAAGGTTAATGGTTTAGGTGTAGGCTGCAGCTAAGTGTTTGAGGTCTTGCTTGCTGGCTGTTGCTTTAGGCACCTATACCAAAAAGTGCTTTGGAACTTTAATAGACTCAGCAGAAGGGACATACATCAAATGGGCTGTGACATGGAGTTTCCAGTAACAAGCGGTGTCCCTCAGGGATCGG